CAGGTTTGAACGGTGTAGGTCCACTTATAAGTGGATTATTTTCAACAGTAAATACTACAGTACTATACAATCTACAATTAGTTGAATCTCTGGAAACAGAGAAACTGGGAGTAAGGGGGAACCAAGTTTACAGTGGACCAACTGTAAATTCTACATGGATTTTCAACTGCACAGTGCATTGATACTCCAGTCCCTCATTGTTCAAGGGTTTGAAATTGGATAGTGTGATGTCTCCAGTGTTGTTCTTCTTTTTCAAGATAGCCAGTGTGTTGCAGTACTTATGTCTTGCTTTTTTGATTTTGTTAGATTTATAATTAAGCATTTCATACTTCTGAGTAATTATCAATGGTTTCATATTTTTGCTTTGAAGTCCACATTTTCATTGCTAACATATAAAAATACACTTGCTTTTGTGTGGTTTTCTGTGCTTCCTATGACCTTGTCATCTGAAAATAGGAAAAGTTTAATTTATTCCTTTTTATTATGTATGCCTTTTGATTTCTTGCCTTGTTGCACTGGTTAGAACTTCCAGCACTATATTAAATAAGGGTCGTGAGAATGGACATTCTTGTCTTGTTCTTGGTCTTCAGTCTTTTACCATGAAGTATTGGGTTGGTCAAAATTTTATTACGGAACAAGTCAAATGAACTTTTTGGCCAACCCAATATAATGTTACCTGTAGTTTTGTTTTAGATGCGCTTTATCAAATTGAGGCAGTTTCTCTGTATTTCTGTTTCTATTCCGGTTTTTGCAGGAGTGAATGTTGTATTTCTTCAAGTGTTTTTGCTATATTGATTGATATGATCATGTGATTTTTAAAATCCTGTTAAAGTGTGAGGTGGGGAGGGAGATGGGAGGGAGGTTCAAGAGGGAGGGGACATATGTATACCTATGGCTGATTCATGTTGATATTTGGTAGAAACCAACACAATTTTGTAAAGCAGTTATCTTTCAATTAAAAGATAAAAAAGAATCACAAACTTAATAATAATATATATATCTTTAATTTAAAAAATCCTGTTAATATGGTGGATTTTATGGATTGATTTTGAATATTGAACCTGTCTTGCATCCCTGGAATAAACCCTAGTTGGTCACGATGTATAATTCCTTTAATATATTAATGAATTATATTTGCTAATATTTTGTCAAGAATTGTTGCCTGTATATTCATGAGTGCTATGGGTATGTAGTTTTGTTTTTTGTACTATATTTATCTGATTTTGTAATCAGGGAATGTGTTAGTTTCATGTGGCTGCTGCAACAAATTACCACAAACTTAGTGGCTTAAAACAGTAGAAATTTATCCTCTCATAGTTTTTGAAGGCCAGAAATACAAAATAAGCATCACTGGGCCCAAATCAAGGTGTTTCCAGGGCTTACTCCCTGCAGAGGCTCTGGAGGATCTGTTCCCTGCCTCTTCTAGCCTTTGGGGGCTGCAGCTATCCCTTGGCTTGTGGCTTCATCCCTTCATTTTTCATGGTCAGCATCCTCAAATCTCTCTCTACTGTCTTCACATCACTGCTTTCTGTGTGCATCAGATCTTCTTTGGCCTCCCTCTCCTAAAGGATATTTGTGATTACATTTAGAAGCCACATGGATAATCCAAGATACTCTCCTTATCTGAAGATTCTTAATCACATCTGCAAATACCTTTATATTTTTGCCATATAAGGTGATATTGATGGCTTCCAAGGATTAGGATGTGGATATCTTTTGGGGGCCTCTTTTTACCTATTCAAGGAAAATACTAGCTTCATTGAATGAGTTTGAAAGAGTTATTTCCTCTTTTGTTTCCTGCAAGAGATTATGTAGTTGTGTTAATTTTTTGTTAAAAATTTGGTAAAATTCTTCAGGGAAGCCATTTGGCCAGAGATAACCTTTTTTGGGGGTTGAGCTTCATTTTTTATTTTTTTAAATTTTTATTGGAGTATAATTGCTTTAAAATGTTGTGTTAGTTTCTGCTGTACAGCAAAGTGAATCAGTTATAAAATACATATCATAGACCCACTATTTTTAGATTCTTTGGTGAGTTTTAAATTACGGATAAATTTTCCTTAATAGTTATAGGGCTAGTCAAATTATCTGTTTCATATTGGATGACTTGTGTTTATTTGTGTGTTTTTTTATGAATTGCTTCATTTCATCTAAGTTATAAGTGCAGAATTATTCATTGTTGTTGTTTAGTCCCTAAGTCTTGTCTGACTGTTGCAACTCCATGGACCATAGCCTGCCAGTCTCCTCTGTCCATGAGGTTTCCCAGGCAAGAATACTGGAGTGGTTTGCCATTGCCTTCTCCGGGGACCTTGCCAGATCAGGGGTCAAACCATGTCTCCTGCATTGCAGGAGAAATACTGAGCATAAATTATCCTCTGATTGGCTAATTAACTCATCTGACCCAAAGTCAAATTACTCAGTGGTATACCAGTTACTTTGTATGGGCTTAAGCATTTTTGACCAAACTACTTATAAACAAAGCATGATATCTGAGAGCACAGGGATACTTGGTACATAAAATACTCCATAAGAAAGCTGATGGAAGGTAATTGTGTCAGACCTTTAGATTCTTTTTTTTAAAAATGGAAGTATAGGACGTCCCTGGTGGTGCAGAGGATCAGAATTTGCCTGCAAGTGCAGAGGACATAGGTTTGATCCCTGGTCTGGGAAGATTCCACATGCTGCGTAGCAACTAAGTCCATGTTTCAAAACTACTGAGTTCATTCCCTAGAGCCCACAAGGTGCAACTACTGAGCCTGTGTGCTGCAACTACTGAAGCCCACATGCCTAGAGCCCGTGCTCCGCAACAAGAGAAGCCACCACAATGAGAAGCCCACATACCACAATGAAGAGTAGTCCCTACTCACTGCAATGAGAGAAAGCCCACACAAAGCACAGCCAAAAATAAATAAATAAAATTTTAAAATCTATTGTTATGAATAGATAAGTAATTGAAGTTGATTTACAATATTGTGTTAGTTTCTGATGTATAGCAAAGTGATTCAGTTTCATGTATATATATATTATAATATATATATATTATATATATATATACTTTTTCATTACAAGATTGCATTATTATAAGATATTGAATATAGTTTCCTTTGCTATACAGTAGGACTTTGTTTATATATTTTACATATAAGACCTTTAGATTTTTTAGGCTTCTAACAGTTGATTGCTATATGTAAGGGCTTCACAACCCGTTCCTTATTTTATCTCTTGGCTTTTCTGAATTAGACAGTTCTAACCCACATCCACTAAACAGTATTAAAGACACACTTTAAAATAAAGATTAGTTGGAAAACATAAAGTAATCCTACATTCCAGTAGAATTTCAGATGAATTAAATTGTAAGAGAAATGCAATACTTATTGCGCATATTGTACTAGTCTCACACTGTCATGGAGAGCCCATGCACATGGAATTTGCATTCCAAGTGTTTTCATCTTGACCGTCATTGAGTCCTTAATCTATCTCCCTTCCTTTTTGAGGTCTTCTGTCTGCTTTTCTGACACTCCTTTCTGGCTGGTTCTGTTTTTCTCTGAGTTGCTAGATGGTACACAATTTGAGGGTTCTGATGATGTTATCAAAGAAGTCTGAGCAGGAAGAGCGTTACTGAATAAGAAATTGCTAATCAGTGTCGAGATGACAAAGTATGGATAAAGTACTGTCTCCAGCAGTGTGCAAATGGCTCCAGTGGGAGAACGCATCATAAATGTAGTTGATCTTTTTGACTGTGCAGCAAACAGCCATGCTTTTTCTCCAGGAGCATCCAGAGGGAACTGACTTATAAAGAAAGAAAGGAAAACCATCAAGAAGACAGAATCGAATTATTGCAGCAGTGTTTCTTTTTCTAGCATAAATTTTCCCTTTTGAATTCCACTTTTGCCTGTTGTCAGCAACATTCTGTTCAGGATGCCGAAAAACGGTAAGAGAGCTACTGCTTTTTTCAATTCAGACATAGCTTACTTTTTTTTTCAGGCCCTTATATGGCCTTATATGGCCTTCTTTGGGGTCATTTGATAGAGAGGAACTAGCAATGTTTGCAGATGTGGAACATGCATCCTGCATAATCCAAGTGACCTGCTCAGGTGCTGCATTTCTTAGTAGCAGGGGTTGGCAATAGCAGTTCATTTTTTGTTGCCTATGGAATGTCATGTGTGGCTCCTACCCAGGGTAGTCCTAAGAATTTCACCATTTAAGTGGGCCCTTAGATTTTTGTTGGATTTATCAGCTAACCTCTGCTGATTGTATGTGTCACTATTGCATTTAAGCCAATCTTAGCTTGATCTTCAGTTTCTAATATTATCATGTTATTATCAGTATAGTATATTATTAAATATACTTGGGACCTGCATCAAGTCCAAATTCCTTCTAACTAAATTATGACAATTGAATAATGAAGCTGGTGAATTCAAATAACATTTTAGCAGTACAGTAAATGTAAATTAGGACCTTCTTGCATGAAAGCAAACTGCAGTTGACTCTTTTCCTATGTTGAGATAAAGGAAAAAAGCATTTGCAGGATCAGTCACTGAGAACCAGTTTCCTTTAGCTTCAGTATTTTCCTACTGTGAAACCAAATTAGGAACTACCGATGATATGGTGATACTAATTAATTATTGATGGTCTGCTGTTAGTCTCCCTGAGCCATCCACCTTTTTCATGTGCCACCCAGGGACACACAATAGCAACTACATTTGCTATTTTAGTTACTCCAATTGCTAAGGGATGACTGAGTCTTAAACTGAAATAAATGCAAATATAGAGATATACACAGGCGAAAAGGGAGGGTTTTGAGAGCACATGGTAAAATAAATAAACAAAAGAGCTTGTATGTACTTACTTCACTTTTAGTTTTTGATGGTATATATATATATTAAAAACCTATTTAAGAATTCACCTGAATTCAAACCATGTAGTCAAAACTATGGTTTTTTCAGTAGTCACGTATGGATGTGAGAGTTGGACTATAAAGAAAGCTGAGCACCAAAGAATAGATGCTTTCAAACTGTGGTGCTTGAGAAGACTCTTGAGAGTCCCTTGGACAGCAAGGAGATCAAACCAGTCAATTCTAAAGGAAACCAACCCTGAATATTCATTGAAAGGACTGATGCTGAAGCTGAAACTCTAATACCTTGTCCACCTGATGCAGAGCCGACTCATTCGAAAAGACTATGATGCTGGGAGAGACTGAGGGCAGGAGGAAGAGGGGATGACAGAAGATGAGATGGTTGAATGGCATCATCAACTCAGTGGACCTGAGTTTGAGCAAACTCCAGGAGATAGTGAAGAACAGTCCATGGGGTTGCAAAGAGTTGGACATGACTGAGTGACTGAACAACAACAAGATAGACGTATTCCCCTGTCAGATATAGTATCCATCTGAGGAATTCGTTTAGATGAAGGAGATGTACTTCACTTAAAATCTATTCAAATATTCCTATTTTCCTGCAAACTTTCACTTTAATTCCATCAACTGTTGCATCCCTGTAGCCTTCTAACCTAATTGTGGCCCTTGTTAGGACTTGACCAACAGATTTTGAAATCACACTGCATTATTCTTCCATGTCAAAGAGTCCCAGAAAAGTTTCTTCTCTGCCTTCTGACCATTTACCTACATATGTCCATATGGCCTTTGGGTGCCCATCTGGGTGTTGAGCCTGGCTAGAGACTAAGATAAACCATGAGTTCATACTGATAATAAATGATAGAATGAGGGAGACGGGAAAAGCTCTTCTTTAAGGTCCAATGCCAAATAGTATGGAGAAGGAAATGGCAACCTACTCCAGTATTCTTGCCTGGAGAATCCCATGGACAGAGGAGCCTGGTGGACTACAGTTCATGGGGTCGCAAAGAGTTGGACACGACTGAGCGACTAAGCACACACACACTCCAAATAGTAATATGGAACAAATGATGGAGTTAGAAAAATAACTTTTTGCAACCACTGTAGTTAGTAATAACTGAGCCAAGAAAGAATCACTGATGGATGCCAAAGCTATTGGATGAAAGTTTAAGGAGGAACAAAGTATTTACATAGTTTCAAGGTATATTCCTACAGATTACTCACTTATTACATAGGGAAATTGGTAACTTTACAGTGGAGAAACCTGGTAAACACTACCTTAATAGAAACATAAAAATTTTAATTTGAAAAGTCCTCATAATCTCATCTTTTGGAGATAATCAGTCTTAATTCAGTAAATATCTTTCCCCTTCATGGATCACAGCCTGTTGTAGTGAAGGGGCTGGCATAACTCAATGATGCTATGAGCCATGCCATGCAGGGCCACCCAAAATGTATGGGTCATTGTGAAGAGTTCTGACAAAACATGGTCCACTGGAGGAGGAAATGGCAAACCACTCCAGTATTCTTCCTGCGAGAACCCCATAAACAGTGTGAAAAGGCAAAAAGGTATGACAGTGGAAGATGAGCTCCCCCCAGGTTGGAAGGTGTTCAGTATGCTACTGGGGAAGAGCAGAGGGTAGTTATAGGAATTCTGAAGTTTTTCTGGATGTGACTGTCGATTATTCCAGAGACATTTGTTCAAAAGCGTATCCATTCCCCACTGAATATTCTTGACACCTTTGTCAGACATCAATTGATCATATATGTGTGAATCTATTTCTAAATTCTATTTTGTCTCATGTATATCTTTACAAAAATACTACACTGTTTGAAAACTATAGCTTTGTAAATCTTGAAATGAGATAATGTAAGTCCTCTTAACTTTTTTCTTCTTTTTCAAAATAGCTTCATTTATTCTAAATCATGTGGTTTTATTTCTTTATTAATCTTAGAATCAGCTTGTCAACTTTTAATTATTAAATTTCTTTACTGATTATAATTAGTGTTATTTGTCTTATTTCTATTTTAAACTTACCAAGATTGTTTTTTTTTTTTTTTGTGCTAGTATATGATCATGCTTTGTGAATGTTCCATGAACACCCGAGAAAAAGTATATTCTGTATGATCTGGATATAGTGTTTATTCTTTCTTTCTCTCTCCCTTTCCTTCTTTGCTTCCTTCCTTCTTCCCTTCCTCCCCCCTCCTTCAAGTCCCACCTTATTGATTAGCTCTTTTATAGCATTACCTATTTCTTTTTTGTTTACGTAATCTGGTTACTTCTATGAATGGTATGTTAAAAGTCTTCCACTAGAAAAAACTTCTATTTCTTCTTGTATCCCTGTAGTCTTTAGCTTATGTAGGCTTTTGCTGTGTTACTTTGTGCATAGAAATTTACAAATATCTTTATTTTTATATCTTCATTGTGAACAGGGCTTTTAACATTACAAAGTATCCTCCTTTATCTCATATAATTGGTTTTGGAATTCTACTTTGTTTGGTATCAGGATTTCAATCCCTGCTTTTATATCATTTTCATTTGGTATACCTTTGTCCATCTCTTTAATTTTAGCCTTTTTGAAAGACTGTTTTAAGCATGTCTCTTGTATACAGCATTGTGTGGGTTTTGCTTTAACAAGGCAATGTGAAAATCTATTTCTTTTAATAGATGAAGTAAGCCTATTCACATTTATTTGTATTACAGTTTGTAATATAATTAATACAAAATATCCTCAACTTTATTGTTTTATCTTATGATGTAATTACAGTGTGTCAATGTTATATTTACTCTGTTTCTTTCTCTATTGAGTGTTTCCTCTAAATGTTTTTGGTAATTAGGAAGGTTTGTATTTTTATGCTGGTAGTTGTGATTAGTTGCTCAGTTGTGTCTGATTCTTTACGATCCCATGGACTGTAGCCCACCATGGGATTCTCCAGGCAAGAATACAAGCAAGATACAGGCAAGAATACAGGTGTGGGTAACCATTCCCTTCTCCAGGGGATCTTCCTGGCCCAGGAATCAAATCCAAGCCTCGTTTATTGTCTAAGGCACCAGGGAAGACCATTCTGGTGGTTACCTTTGTATTTATCCCTTCTGTGGTATTCTTACTCAACCCTTTTATCTTTTTATTTACATATTTATTTATAAAATTGTATATATTTAAGATGTACAACATGATTTGCTATACATATGCATAGTGAAATGATTACTGCAGTTAAACTAATTAACTTATCATCTCCTTACAGTTACCATTTTTTGTGTGTGATGAGTACACCTGAAATTTGCTCTCTTAGCATATTTCCATTGTTCAGTATAATATTATTATGTATAGTCATCATGCTTGTATATTAGATCTCTAGACTTTATTTATTCTCCGTAAATGTAACTTTGTCTCTTTGACCAATATCTCTCCCCTTTCCCCCATACCCTTGGTGACCACCATTCTCTCTTTGCTTCTGAGTTTGACATTTTTTTTTAGATTCCACATATTAGTGAGATCATACAGTGTTTGTCTTTCTGTCTAACTTATTTCACTTAGTGTAATGTCCTCCAGGTTCATCCCTGTTGTTGCAAATGGCAGGATTTACTTCTTTTTCATGACTGAATAATATTCCATTGTTTATATACCAGATCTTTATCCATTCATCTGTTGATGGACACTTAGGTTGTTTCCATATCTTGGCTATTGCAAATAATGCTGCAATGAATATTTGGGATAGTGATTTCCTTTCCTTCAGATATATTCCCAGAAGTGGGACTGATGGATCATATGGTAGTTCTAGTTTAATTATTTGAGGAACCTTTGTGCTGTTCTCCATAATGGCTATACCAGTTTATCTTTTTTTTTAATTTATTTTTAATTGGAGGATAATTGCTTTACAGTGTTGTGTTGTCTTCTGCTATACAACAATGTTAATCAGCTATTAGTATACATACATCCCCTCCCTTTTCCTTTTTTCTTTATTAATCTTTTACTATCTAATTTGTCTCTCATCTGTTCCCTATACAACAATGATCTTGTTCAGTTTTAGTTACATTTTAAAATTATTTTTTAGTCTTAGCTTTGCAGTTAAATATATGAAATACTTATTGTCTGTCCTTTTGCCAGAATTTTCCCATTCATTGTTTTTGGTTGAAGCTCACTATTTAGTATATATGTATATATATAATATAAAAAGTCGCTCAGTCATGTCCAACTCTTTGCAACCCTGTGGAATTGTCCAGGCCAGAATACTGGAGTGGATAGCCTTTCCCTTCTCCAGGGGATCTTCCCAATCCAGGGATCGAACTGGGGTTTCCTGCATTGCAGGTGGATCCTTTACCAACTGAGCTATCAGGGAAGCCCTATTGTTTAGTATAGTGGTATACAATAAAACTTCCTGTAGTGATGGGAATATTCTGTATCTGTGCTGTCTAATACTGTAACCAACCACATGTGGCTACTGAGCACTGGAAATGTGCCTAGTGTGACTGAAGAACTGACTTTTAAATTTTCTTTCACTTTAATTAATCAAAATTTAAATAGCCACATATGGTTGGTGGCTACCATATTAGTGCAGCTCTAGCAAATTCCTTATGAAGGGCACACATATTCTGGCATATTAACAACTTTTCCTAAAACCCTTGATATTTGAAGGGTATCTTTGGCTGGATATAATTTCCTTTATTTGTATTTTCTTAAGTTTATTTTTATTTTTATTTATTTATTTATTTTTATTTTTTTATTAGTTGGAGGCTAATTACTTTACAATATTGTAGTGGTTTTTGTCATACATTGACATGAATCAGCCATGGATATACATATATTCCCCATCCCGATCCCCCCTCCCTTCTTAAGTTTCTTGAAACTGCTATATTGCCTTGCTTTGTATGTTGTTTTTGAGAAATTGATGCCAATCTAATTTTTTTTTTGCCTGGAGGCCCTGAGGAAGTTTTTTCGTTGTCTTTAAATTCTAATAGTTTTAATTAGGATATATCTCAGAGTTGATTGTTCCAAGTCAATTTCCCTTGGTACCCAGTGGGCCCTTTGATTGCTTTTGGATTTGTTTTATGATCCTGGATATGGTCTAGCTTGGTGAACATTTCATGTGTTCTTGAAGAAACAGTTAATCTCTCACTTTTGAGTGGAATGTTTTATGAAATCATTGGTTGATTGGTAGTGTTCAG